GCAAACATGCAACGCTGTGGATATTTTCATGCGAGTACACACGCACATCGCAGAACGCAGGCTCTCAGCATCAGTGCCCTGACCATAGGGAGTTTGTGCTGAGCTGGTTGGGACGTCAGGATGAATCAGTGTGCGGACAGCTGACTGGACGTGCCTATTCATCAGCCAGAGAAAAGAGAGTGAAAAATGGAGCGAGGGATTCTAAAAGAAATGAGTTAAGCCCCAGAGCAACATGTTTGGCTATCTGCATTACTTTACAGATCCTCCAATGGGCTTTGACTGTTGTATGGGATAAAGGCTGAAGAGGTGGAAAAGATAGCCGAGTACAGGAAGGAGAGGAGGGGGTAAGACAAGGGGAGTTTTCACGATTATTTTTGTTGTGTACACATGCAGTAGTAGGACACTGCAGATGCAAATATTAGCACTCACTAAGCAGATAGGCTGCTTTGACAAAGGCATAAGCTCATACTGTAGAGGCGGCTACCTCCTTTCTGATGGCCCGTTTATTCCCATCTGTTGCCCTCAGCTCTCTGACTTTATCCCCATTGTGTTAACTCATTACATTCGCCTTAACCATAACCCCTTAATTGCCACCTTCCAGTTTCTCTCCCATATCCTCCCCCCTCTTGGAGACAGTGTGCCACATTGCCCGTGCGTTAATCTGATAGCGTCTGCCTACCAAACACCTGCCATGTCCAGAAAAAACCCTCCTAAACTCCTCCAGATTCTGGGTTCAGCACCCATTGTAGCGTGAGCGGATCAGCACACATGATAGCAAGCAGGCAGGCACGCATTTAGACAGATGCAGATGCACATACAGCAGATAATTAGACGAACAACCTCACCTCCTGGAAATCATGCTGGAGTCAGTGTTTTTGCTTTAGCCTTTATGAGTATGTGTACCTATTTTTCCCCCTTGCATTCAAAGAAAGACGAGACAAACAAACGTTGTCTTTTGTCTCGCCTCTTCACCCATTTGAAGACAGTGATGGGTAGGCCCAGGCCTCCTCGGTTTAACAATAACTCTCTCGACCCCCTAATGAGGGGTGGAGGGCCAGACATGAGGCGATGTGACAGTTCTGGTGCGGCTGACACAATAGCAGGTTTTTCTTTTGACTGCCTGGCTGAGCTAGAGTACCTTCTTTCATTAAAAACAGCCAAACAAATGGTCGTCGTTGCCTGAGGAACATGTTTAGCTACATCAGGCTGCCTCTGCCATGCACTGTTCGTTATGTAGAGCACCACAGCTGCTTGTATGTTTGTCATTTTTTGAGGTCTTGATAAGAAGTCTCTAAAGGAGCTTCTCACATCAAACTCATTTTCCTGGCAGACAAGATCATTTATCTCTAAAATGATGAAAGATTTATCGCTAGATTCCAATTTTCTTTAAGCAATTCTGATTTTTCTTTAAGCTTGACCTGCTGATAGAGACTTTTGTCAATTTGGTGTTTCTTTCTAAGAACTGCCAGCATATACAAGCAAAAACCTGGTTTTCTTCAATGTAGAATATCATATTTTGTAGTAAAATAAGACTGAATAAGGCTGAGAGGGAGCTAGCAGAGTTAAAGATGCACAAATTGCTTTTATAGGCAAAGTTAGAGAGGAAAGGTTGAGATGGTTTGAACTTGGGCATCCCCAAACCTCTCCAATAAACAACAGAAAGAGATACAAATAATTAAATGAGAATGAGTGGCTTTACAGGCACCTTTACCTGACATGTTTTACCCCACCAGCCAAAGCAGGTGCAGCAGATGTATATACAACAAAACAAATATCAGGTACATCATTTCCCAGTGTCTTTATAACTTCACCAGATGACACAAAAGGGCAGATGTCCTGTTTTTTTACCCATCTCCATAATTTTGCTGGTAACTACTTTGATTCTTGCTTTGGTGAACTTGATGACTATGATGAAATATATTCGCCTACATGTGCATTATGGAAAAAAACACTGAAGTTGTTCTAAAGTTTATGAGGTCAATTCATAGAACAACAAACTTATTTTTTCCCCCCAGTGTTTCCCTGGAAGTGATCATGTTTTGTTTTGTTTTTTTTTTTAAAAAAAGGGGAGAATCTTGTATCTCACGAGTTGGTCGTTCAGATAAAAAAGAAAAAAACAGTTCCCTATATGAGTAGAAAAAGAAACATGAGCAGCTGACCTGTTCAAGATGAGTCTCAAAGCATATATTGGACAGGCTGTTCTAGAGCTGGGCGATATATCGAGTTTTTAAAAAATATCGATATATTTTTATACGAGATATAAGATGTGACAATATCCTTTATATCGATATAGTCTATGTTACGTTATAATTATACTTGTGGAGCCGCAAGTTTGCCTCTCTTTCGTCCACTTTTGTCTTTACGCAACGTTACTCGGCCTCCCCTCTCCTTCACTCAACACAACTCCCCCATCGCTCCCCCATCGCTTCACCTGCAGGAAGCGACAAGATGGACACGGCAAATCTGCGTTAACGAGTTACTGCGCATCGCCCCGTGTGTGGGGCTGGACCGCGTCAACGTGTTAGCTAGCTAACCACGCTAACGAGCTAACCACGCTAACGCCATGCAGCCCAGAGGCGCTGCACGGCCTAAAACCCTTTCATTCTCTCAAAAGTTGACAGCGCGCCTTTTGTATGAATTCTGGTTGTGCTTGATGGCCGCGAACCGATTTTATGTGGTACACGGCGCTCAGCAATCTGTCAAAATGTTTTAGTACGACTTTGGTAAGCTACGGAGCTGCACCGCTTGATAGATTGTCGGAGCATTACGGCTGAGCCTCGCGGAGTGATACGTACTGTGCTTCAGCGTAATATTACCGTATTGTGTGTGTATAAGGACCATAAATGGCACCTGTTAAGAGACGTGGTTACGAAGCGGATTACAAACTCCAGGCTGTCAGTCACACAGGAGAAGTTGGGAACAGAGCAGCTGTGAAATCTGTCTATGTTATTATGCTCAGCGTCTTTTAGTTTACATTCTGACTGCACATTTGTGAGCTTTTTGTTATGCACAAAAACAACATTGTTTTCTTTTATTTATGGAACATTATTATTTAATAAATGCTCATAATTTATTTTTGAGTAAATTTTATGTACATCTGCTCTATGTTAATAAAAGTGCCTGTGTGACATCTGGGACACAGCTTTGACTAAGAACTCTCTTTTTGTTCTTACTTTATGGCTTTAAAAAAAAAAAATCGAGATATATATCTTATATCGCCATCCAGCTAAAAAATATCGAGATATGAAATTTGGGTCATATCGCCCAGCCCTAGGCTGTTCCAAAAAAATGTGCTGCAAACATAAAAAGTTCAATTTTATGGTTATTTTATGTATTATATGATAATATTTAGCTAATGTGTTAAATTAACCCTTTTAAATACCATTTCCTATAACTTCACGGTCACCAACATTTTTATCTGCTACTGAATCTTGTTTGATTCACCACTAAATATATGATTATGAATCAGCATCGCAGGCCATGCAAAAATGACCCAGTATGTGCTGATTAGCCTTGTGTTCGTGTTGCCAAAGTTTTTTGGAGTTTTGATAAAACATTACTGTCCGAGGCAAGCTATTTTAAGATTAAAAAAAAAAAAAATCATCATCCTTGGAAAAAAAAAAAAAAAAAAGCCAAAAATATAGGTATAAACCAGGTCAGGGATCTGGACAAATGCTACATCACTATACCTGCAGTCTCAACAATGATTTGTGTGTAAAACCTTAAAGATTTAGATTATTTTGATACTAAAAGTTACAAATATACATTCTTACCTTTTTACTTACAATCTTGCATCAGCACTCAGCCCAGAATCCGTGCTCTGTATGTGCGAGTAAGTGAGTTTCTAAAATGAAGTTTGTTGATAATGGATTATTGATCGTGAATTAGAGTGGATGGCCCCTGGGGGCTCATCCTGGCCGGCCAGGAATGAATACATCTCTTCATGCTTCACCTCACACACTCAATTTCGGCATAAGCAACCAAAGGTCTGACAGACACACGGATGTTGAGACACTGACCCGTGGTCTAATAGGTACAGACAGCCGTCGTTCATCCAGTAAAGGACAAAGGTTATTCCAAAATCTCCGTGATGCAAATTGCCTCAGTGAGCTCTCACCCTCTCTTAGCACAGAGTAAAACAACCTTAATGTGAATCAACAACTGCTTGATCTTAAACAGTTTTTAAACCAAAATATTATTCAGTTATTCAGTCATCAGTTTATTCTATTTAAAGATATGAAATTAAACCAGGGGTGTCTACTCTCACTGCAGTGCTTTTTTATATGTTGCAAATCTCTTGTTGGTATAGATTGTTATACAATCTGGTTTATAAGATAGTGAGTCACAAATGCTGTGGCCACTGTCACATTCACTTTTAAGCTTTAATAGTTTTTCTGTGTGGCTTCTCAGTTCTGAAGAATTAAAGTTTTCCTTTTTTTCTTTTTGGACATCAGCTGCTTTTTCACTCATTTTCAGTCCTTGTACCTGACCATGTTTATTCATCTGTTAGGCCACTTAACACTGAGCTCACATAAAAACCAATGTTGTGTCAACTTGGACAAAAAAGCAACTATTGCATTAAATTGTATCTTTAGACACTTTGTTACCAGCAGCCTGTCATGGAATCATATGAAGTGTTCCTACTTCTTTAGTTGAATTTATGAAAAAAATACATAAAACGCTATTTTTGCACCATTTTGGTGATTTTGGAACGGCTATTACCCGAAAACCTGGCATGTCTCAGCATGCTGTGCAGTGCAGACCTCGAAAACTATCTACAGCAGAAGAATACTAAAGAATTAAGGTGGTCATACCAAGGATTAACTTTCAAGCTCGTTGTCTTTGTGCAATCTCTGTTTTTTCCTTAAATACTGTATTTTCATTTATGTTTTCATATTATTTTAAAGCCATTTGGACAGACTTTTTTTAACTGGCTTTTTTCTGAATTTTGGTAGTTAATTTAATTATCATGGGACTCATTTCAGTTTCTTTTTTTCCAGGTATCATAAAAACAGCATGCCATTTGATGAAGGAACTTCTCTTCAGAGATCGGGATTGGATACTAAAGCTGTGATGTTTGGCAAGTTTTTGTTACCTGTGCTGAGAACTCAATAAGTGTTGGAAGAATAACTTTTCTAGAGTTTCAAAGAGGATATATTAAACAGCTGTGGTGATTCTTGATGACCGGTGGTCTTGGAAAAGTGATGGAGACAGAAGAAAGGGAGGATGTTTCACAAAAACACACAGCTAAAGTGGAGGCAGAGGATGAGGTAACCCCATGCCACACCTGCGGGGTGTGTGGTCGCAGTTTTCCACTTCTAAGCTCTCTATCTCAGCACATGAGAAGACACACTCGGGAGAAGCCTTACAAGTGTCCCTACTGTGAGCACAGGACAGCTCAGAAGGGCAGCCTAAAGGCCCATATTAGAAGCCATAAATTGGGCCTTTTGAGCCAAAACCTCAGTGACAGGGAGGGGGATGGAGATGAAGGGCAAAAAGAGGATGCTGATATAACTGACCCTCCTGAGCTCAGCAGCCCACCTGATAAAGCTCATAACATTAATGGAAAGGTCAAGAAGAAAACAACCAAGAAAAAGGTTAAAGATGGTGTCGAGGTTAGCGATGGAGGTGATGACGGACCTTTTTCCTGCACCATTTGTGGCCAGGTTTTCCCTCAGGTATTACTCCTCAAGTCCCACATGAAAAGGCACCGTGGCTCTCAGGATCACGGTTGCCGGATATGTGGACGACGCTTTCGCCAAGCGTGGTTCCTCCAAAGTCACATGCGCATTCATCGAGTGAAAGCCCAGCTAAGGGGCAGCAAAAGCAACGAACCGCCTGCCACCATCAACGGGGTTCCTCAGGACCCAGCATTACTGACGAATGAAGAGTGCCTCTATGAGCTCTGTGCAGGCTGCGGTAACTTCTTCAATGACCGCAGGACACTGCAGATACATGAAAAGTTGCATAAACTGAACCACACCCGCACTCAGATGCAGAATCCAACACAAGGAAATGTGGAGTCCTCCGAGGTGCAAGATGCTAAGAGGCAGTTTTTGGAAAGCCTGAACCTCATTTCTGCTGGACCCAGGGAAAGCCCTGCAGAAGTGAAGCCGGGCAGTCGAATTCCTGAGCTGGATCCAATTTGTAGTTACCAGTCATGGCAGTTAGCTACAAGAGGACGGCTAGTGGAGGCTACAGAAAAATGTCTGGGATGGGAGGAGAGATTAGCTGATGCGGAAGTGGCATATGACATAGAAAAAGGCGAGTACGTCCCCTTGAAGCAAGAGAAGAAGAGAAAGCCAAATGACACAGCCGGCTCCAATCTTAAGAAGAGGAAGGGTGATGCAGGCCTTGATCACAAAGGTGGTGACAAAAAGATTAGCCAGAAGGACTCTATTCTGCTGAATGGACTTGGTCAAGCATTTTATGAAGCACTACAGACTAAAAACGTTAAAGATGTTCACTCCTCATCTAAACAGACGAAGAACATCAAGAGCCTAGACCAGGAAGGTGAGCCGAATACACCACAACACACCATAATACATTATCCACGACAGAGCTTAGACAAGAGTTTATATTCGTTGATCAGACTTAGAACAGTTTTGTACTTTTACCATTTATAAGCATCAAAGCATCAATTAAGGGCTGTATTTTATACAAATTGATTTCTGAAAGGTAAATGAAACTACAACTCTAGTACAAAAATGAGTTAAATTGGCAATATATTGTGTAAAGGAGAGATCACTAGCGAATTTCTAAATGGATTACAGCAGCAGTAATTGCCCTTTTTTACACAAGAATGTCTGTAAACATACAAACGCAGTAAGGTTACCTTACCTAATATTTTTAAGGGACTCTTAATATATAAATCTCAGCATTAATAATTGTTTTATTGTCTTAACAAATCTTTAAAAAACTGTTTTGGTTGGATTTGTAGATTCAGATTTAGATTTATTAATTGTGTGTCAGGGGTGGGACAAAATATCAATATGGAAAATTTTATGTAACAGCTTCTATTTGTGTACAATATCTTTAGACTAATGACAAATTTCTTTATTACTATTAAAACGTGCTGATGCTATGTTCTACCAGTCTGACTTACCACAATGACTGTCAATACTCATCATGGCAGCACCAGTAATCATGAAATAAAGCTAATAGGGCCAATATTAGCTGTTTGCTAATATTTTGGCATCTGCATTTATAATGACCAATAAATAAACACAATTTACATTTAATAATAGCACAATACATAATTCTATCTTTTTGTCTAATTAGGGGTGTTTTTTCCTTCCTTAGCTAGATGTGTGATCCTTCTGTCTTTATTATACAGTCTTTTTGTATATGTAAAAAAAACTGACCTCATCTGTTATGAATGTCCCCTTCTGTTTTTACCTGCAGATAAAAAGAAATATTTCTGCGAGCACTGTGATTTCCACACTGTTGACACCGCGCTACTCAGGTCTCACCTGCACACGCAGCACCAGGACTTCCTGAGTTCCTACAGCAAACAGAGCACCAATTTGGACATAAGCAGAAGTGGTTCCAAAGCCTCAAGATACATGGACTACCTCAGAAGCAGGAGCATCCTGCTCAGTCAGCCATATTGGAATCCATATTCATGTTCTCCAAGCCAGGAGTTAGTAGAGTCAAACATTAAAATGGAAAAGACAAATGGCTCAGAGGTGAAAGAGCAGGGACATGCTACTGGCGATGCTAGCAGCCTCCTCAATCTTTCTTCTTTACCCATAACTGATGTTAGTTTTTCAGTAAAAACACAGGGCCTGGTGAGACATCAGTGCCCATACTGCTCCCACACCACCAACTACCCAGAAGTACTGTGGATCCATCAGCGTGTTGCCCACAGGGTGGATGGCAGCAGTACCATGGCACCCAAGTGGGCACCTAGCATTAATAGTCTCAAGAGTTTAAAGGCAGGTGCTTCTCAGTGGAGACGCACAGGGCCGCCACCCTTCCTCGAAGGCAAGGACTGTCCAGCTTTGCCTACTCCAAGAACGCAGCGCACACAGCCTCCCGGGGTCACAAACCATGGCAGCAGCAGCAGCAGCAATAAGCAGTCGTCCCACAAGAATCAATCAAGCACCCTGAAGTCCAAGCATCAGTCAAAGGACTCACGACCTTCAGATGCGACACAGTCTAGTGGCAAGGTTGGACTCCAAAATCAAAAGAAGGAGCATAACCGAACAGTGGGGGGTGGATCTAAAGGCTCCAGCACCCAAACTACTTCGTCAAACAGCATTGTGAACAGCATTGTGAACAGCAAGAGTCTCCAGAGCTTGCAGCCTACCAGCAGCCCAAAACAAAGAGGCAACAGAGCCACTGTGGAGGGGAACTTCCCACAGGAGGGTTTGGGTTTTATGCTGGCAAGAAATCGCAGTGGGAATTCTTCTTCTTCCTCTAACACAGATAAGCTCCACTCTCGCAGGCATTCAAGTGACTTTTCTTCAGGTCCCAAAGGTTCTGATCTCTGGGCTGCCATGAATATGTGGGGGCTACACGGAAGCAAAGCATATTTAGATACACTCCGAATATCTCAGGGAAAGAGTGAATCAACAGGAGAAACGCCAACGGACATCGATATTTTAAGTATCCTGAAAAACTACAGTCCACATGATCTGGCAGCTCTCTATCAGCACTGGGGCTTTGTTGATCCCAGGCTTGTTTCACAGGGTAAGGAGGAAGCTTTGCTTTCTGCTTTATTTGCTGTAAATGATCAAAGAACTGAGTACTGTTTAGATCAGGGGTGGGGAGCTCCAGGCCTCAAGGGCCGGTGTCCTGCAGGTTTTAGATGTGTCCTTGATCCAACAGAGATAATTTAAATGGTTAAATTACCTCCTCAGTATGTCTTCATGTTCTCCAGAGGCCTGGTAATGAACTAATGATATCTAAAACCTGCAGGACACTGGCCCTTGAGGCCTGGAGTTCCCCCACCCCTGGTTTAGATGGAGGCCTAACGTTTTAGGAAATAGGATTTCTATTATAAAAATCTACTGCTTTCAGAATGAGAAACAGATGTTTCAATGCTCTTTCACTACTTTCTACTTTCACAGCAACGATGCAGTTAAATGGAAACTTTGGAAATGAAGTCCATTCCTCGTCTGAAGCTTCCAAACAGGTATGTTTTTGATTTTACTGATAATTTCTAGATTTGTATTTCAGGCAAAAAGAATTGTGAATTAAAATAATCTTTGCATCTTTCATTTTAAAATCTTTAAGACTTTTCGAATCATTGATGATCATAATCGGTTATACAACTAGGTTGGTGGATATATACTTATAAAGTATATAAATATGGTTTAAAAATGGAAAAAATAGCATTTTGTGCTCCAAACCAATTATATCTGAAAACATAAGCCTACCTTTACATCATTATTGATTAACTTTGTGTTTATGTTTTTAAAATCCTGTCAGTTATCTGCTGCAGGGCAGTGTTTCTCTTTATATTTGTATCACAGTTCAAAGCTTAACTACAGTTTCATCTTAAAGGTAACTCAAGCCAGTTAACCGTAGATCAGTTATCTCACTTTCCAGAGTGAAGTACAGCATAAAGTCCCTGCTCACCCCGTGTACAGTATGTCTTTACCAACTGCGTGTTCCTGCTCTGTGTCTGTACTTCGTCTGTGTCTGAGCACAGTCTGTCATTTCTGCGCACACGTGCGTCTGCGTATTGTCTTGTATCTACGTGCGTGGCTGTCAGCTCCCACAACCTGGCTGTCTCTTCCTTCTCGTTTCCGTAACAGAAGCTGACAGGGATGAGGCAAACAAATAATAAAAAAACATTGTTGTCCCCCTCAGGGTAAAATTCGCACAGCATCTCCATATGGTGTGTCATCAGCCTGTCAGTCAGGCCTACCCTGATGCTACCTACAACTGTTCTTGCTTTCTCCTATTCCCCCTAGAGTAATGTGTGGGCAACTTTTTGAACACGAGTGATGGGCACTGTCTGTCTTCAGGGTTGAGGATTTCTAAGCCAGACAACAGTTGTATGTGAGGTGTAAAACAATACTGGAGAAACATTACTTTGTGAAAGATTTTTAAAAATTTCTATTTCTCCATATCTTATACAGCGTTTGTGCATCGCTCATTTCCATCTTTGTGAGGACACTCATAGACCTTTGTCTTAACTAAAGGGCTAAAGCCGACCCACCGGTTCTCAAACTGTGGGTAAAGCTACTGCAGGGGTGAGGGGTGTGGGCAGAATTTAATGAAAATGAAGTTGAGATAATGAATGATTTATTGCAGGGACTATGGACTGGTTCCTATATAAAGCTTTTCTACTCTACCTGAGCATTTAAAGTGCTTTATACAACTTGCTTCATTCATTCAGGCACTTTTTTCCATGCTTAAGTGCTTTTTTACTAACATTCACACACATTCATACTCCATTGGAGGCATCAGAGTAACTTGGACCAGTCGCACCACCAACCTTCTGATCAGTAGTTGACCTGCTCTACCTCCTGAGCTACAGCCACCCTCAAAAACAAACCAGTTGAAAACCTGTGCCAGTGCTAACTAGTGTTACTCACACTTGTCTTCTGCAGATGAACAGCCACTCCACTTCATCCTCAGGGTCTCTGCATAAAGGAACGTAACGAAACATTGTGCTTCTCTTGGCTGCAAAGTTCTAACTGCTGAAAAAAGAGAGGCCTGCTGTTCTTCAAAGGAACTAGCCATAACTCCTGGAGAGCACAGAGGCTCTGGAATCTGCACAATATATGCAAAGCAATGCGGTGGACTTGTTTGATTTTGTATTATGACTGTTTGATTTGAAGTGTTAAGCATGTTACGAGTGTAGATATGATAGTTAAATAAACACATATGATGTGTTTTTGATTATTTTATTTGGTGAAAATGAGGCAAATGTTCAGGATTATTGTACAAAACAACAGGAAAGCATTGTAGAAGTACCACAGCCAGGTGGAAATTAAATGTAGAGCCACAACTATGTGGCTAAACAGATGTTCTCTTGGCTTTAGGCCCAGATATCTGCTTGTTTTTGGTTACAAAAAGTAGATCCTTGCAGAGCAATACAACATACCAAATCTTACAACTCATAATTCCACTAAAACAGCTGTGATGCAAATACATGTTTTTAACTGCTGTATATCAGTGTCGAGTTTAAGTTTGTTGTTTTGTTTCATGTACAAATGTCTTCTTTTTTAAGTTTTTAATTTTCTTGGTTGAGTATGTGATTTTTGTTGCAGATAACATGGTGTCACTTGTGTTTTCAGCCCACAATTTAAATTCAAAGGACTCTCCTTTAAAATGCACGTGTTGACCCAAGGCCTTAGTCACACAGGCCTAGAGACCCCTTTGCAAACCCCTGGCAGACTTTTGGTACCCTAACAGCTGGTGAGTCGTTCCTGGAGGTTGCTGAGTGAGATGTGTCGCGAGGAGGGTGCTGCACCAAAAATCTTCTTGTCATTGCTTTGGTCATTAGCATATTAATGCTATCACTCATTGTTTACACTGGAAATGTTGATTTGTATGCTAGCACTTGTCAACTTGTCACTTTAACCAAGACATTTCAGAAGGCACAACTCTTACTTTAAAGGTAAATGTTCTACATTGTCCAGTTTGCACTTTTTCCACTTCTCTTTTTTAAATATTTTTTGGCCTTTTTACAGCTTTCTTTGAAAGGGTACAGTGAAGAATGACAGGAAAGCAGAGGAGCGAGAGCAGGGAAGGCACAGGCCACAGGTCAGATTCAAACCCAGGCTGGCTGCTCTCAGCCATGCGGCATATGGGCACCTCACTACTCCCACTTTTCATTGTTTGACTGACACTCGACACAAGTAGTTGGCGACTGTTTGCAACATCTTCTGTATAAACTGCAGGGGATCACAGCAATCGAGAGACCAAAGCAATAACAAGGTTTTTGTTGCGGCACCTTTTTGATGACCAATATCAACAAGCAGCCACCCGCCTGGTGATGTGGACGCCAGTAAATGCGATACCTCGAGAATGAGGAGACGTAGGAGCTTCAAATTAATAACACACAGGTGTCTCTACTAAAAATCTCTGACAGGGTTAATCACTGCCTGGTCTTTAAGGCTCTGCTATTTTAATATATATGATTTTTTTTTTCAGTGTTCAAAACTTTATATTTTGAACCCTACCCAAACCTTTTCTCCAGTTTTACACATTCCTCATGTAGTTTCACCAGTCCAGTCCACTTAAAATCAAAGTGGGCTGTATGTGGCCCACAGTGTAAAAAGACTTTGACATCCCTGCTCTAAGGTTTTAGCAGATGTTTTCACAGAACAACAAGCAACCCATTTTTCCCTAGCAACTGATGGTTGAAAGGTGGTTGCCAAACGGTCGCTATCCCTGTGTGACCAGGGCCTAAGACAGAAATAGTGCTTTTTTTCCTGTCAGTTTGGAATCAGTATTTCTCCTAAGGTCAGATATGTAATTCAGTTGCTTCAGGCACAGCAATGCCATCGAGTCCTCTAGCTCTGCTTCAGGTTAACAAACTGCTCCGTTGTAGTTTACAGTAACTTCAGCAGACCAGTGAAACAGCACAACCAGAAACGGTGCCCTAGTGTTTATCTTGTATTTTGTTAATGAAAAGTCGTTGGCCATTTTCCAAACTTTAGGTCCAGGATTGATGTGAAAAATGAGCACTCGCGCTCGTCATTGAAGCCAGTCTTCAAAAAGGGTCTCAGAACAACCAGTGAACAATGAAAAGTGCTGCCATGTTTTTATTTTTATTTTAAATCCAAGTTTAAAATTTAAATGCAACAATTTGCTCTTATGTTTTCAATTAGAGCGCAGACATCTGCACTTCTTTTGGCATTATTCTAGTGATGTAGCCATTTAATGCTGTGATTTATTTCTTTTAGAAGTAGAACTTTTAGCAATGAGCATTTCTACTGATCCAAAACTCACCTCAGTCTCCAGTTGTTTTCATGTGTTTCATTGTTTGCAGATTTTAGTATGTTTACATTTCAATTCCTCCTTCTCAGTGTATTCATATCCCATAGAGACATAGTCTATGCATTTAACTAAAAGCCATCAACTTATGGATTCTTGGGCGATCTTAAGAATCCATAATTATGAAAGCACTGACTGTGTGGAGAGATTTTTCTTCTTTTTGATAAATATTGTAAATGATAGTTTTATTTAATGGTCTTTGTTTGTTTGCTATGAGTCGGATTTCAACAATTAAAAGTATTTGATATTTGTAGTAGCAGAACATGTTAAAAACATGTTGAATTTTCGTCACCTTTGAGGTCAGGGTCAGCGGGGTGTGATGCTCCCACAGCAGGTATCACTGAGCCTGTGTTTTGCAACGACCCTGTAACTGTAACTCCTGTTTGGCATAAAGAGGCAGGAAGCACTGAGAGAGGGATATTTACGCAAGTCTGAACTCTTATGCAAACCTCCAGCTTACAGTTGAGCTCTCGCTGGGTTCATTTTTGTGACTATGTAAACATGTTTCATAGTTATTATGTTGGTTCAGAATTTATATTTTCGACAGATCAACAATTTTTGTCTGACTGTAAAATTCAAATAAAGTTGGTTGATGCCGATCTGCGATGGCGTTGGATTTTTTTTCTCCACCACACATCATCTTCATTCAGAAGCCTCACGTCACTGTGTCACGTTCCTTCTCAGCAGTTTAACAGACTCAGCTCTCTTCTTCTAGTTTGCACAATATATATTCGAATAAAGTACAAAGCATTTCTTCTGCTCTAATAAACAAAATGACAAAACTAAATAAAAATTGGGGTCATTCTTGCTGCAGTGTATCACTTCTACCAGCAGGTGGCAGACAATGTCAACAAATGAAGGAGTTGAAAGCCGCTTTTGTTTACTCATGGCTCTTGGATAAGTGGCTTTATACCTTATTTCTTCTACACTGTTTAACAAGTAACTCTTTCTCCTATTTGCAGTGAGACTTCCTTTATATGCTGTCTGTGTGTACAACTCACAGCAAAGAAATCACGACGACCGCTGATGAATTAAACCTTTCTCCCCATCATCCACCTTTGTGGTCTTATAAAAACACAGTTACAGCAGATCTTTTAGATTTAAACTCAAACTCCTCGTGCAACTTTCAGCAGCTCTTCCTTTTTTGTGTGTCAATTATAAAAATTCACAAACGTACATCAAAGCATAATTTTTAAGTCGGGGCGTGTGTGCCGCTGACCTGGTCTGACAGAGGAGAAAATAACAACTGAATAAAGGCATTACTTGCACTGACTCTTGTGCAGCATATTGACGAGACATGAGCACAACTGTGCGTCTGCGTGTACACTGTGTGTGCCTGTGTGTCCTTGTCACAATGTGTTTGTCAGCGGGTCGTGTTGAATCTTGGTGCAGTGACAGCATCAGTTTGCTGCCTGAGAGACATCAGAGATCATGTTCGCAGAGCCACCAGCAAGGGGGCTGAGAGCTGGTGCCGGCCACAGGGACTGGGAGTAGATAATGTCAGGCAGCTCGGAGCAGGAGAAATGCAGTGGCATATGTTGTCTGACAGGGAAACGCCTGGATGTTGCCGGGCAGAGAGGGGGAGACGGTTTGGTGGCCAATGGGAGTGACAGCTGTCAGGAAGTGCTTTCTGTGTGTGTGAGAGCTACTGCTTAGAGAACCTAAGAGCTTTAGTCCTTCTAACTGAGTGTTTTCATTATAGGAAGTGCCTAAAAATGCTCTTTTGGGTGGATTAAAGGTCAGAATTTGCTCACTTGAATTTGGTTAGTTTGAAATTAAAGCTTGAAATCAGACTTGACGTCAGCTCTGTAGAAAAACATCACAATCTTGATATCATACGAAAGTTATGAGGCTTTGAGTTCTCTGATTTCATGAAGAAAAGTCTCACACATTATAATACATGAAAATAATTAAAACAATAATAAGCCACTGGGAGATTAGAGAAAAGATTCCTCTTCTATAAAATTGTAAAATTGGTAAGCAGATAATAAATACTGTCGTGAACTCCGCTGGCAAATGCTCTGCTTAAGGATAATAAAAGGTAAGATTTAATTAGTGTGTGAAAGGTGACAGCTGGGTGTGATTATTTAAACAATCAAAGTTTGATTTTAGGGTTTAAATTAAGTGCAATCAGTGTAAGCACAGAAGCAAGATGTTTCTTAAACATGCTGCTTTTTTTGGTTAGAAAATCTCAACCCTATACACACAAAGCCATAACTGGCTATTTTCAGTGATTGGACTTTAGGTCGCTAAACAGAAATTACAAACGTAATCTAAGGGGGTCACAAGGTAATGTAGGACTTTAGGACTAATCCTTGGTCCCAAAATCTCCTGAAAGAGAAAATTAGGAAAGAAAGTTAGAGATGTAAAGCTAAGATGGTGTGGTGTGATGCGCAAGAGGAGGGATAGTGGACGTTGAAGATGGAGCTGTGAGGCAGGAGGAAGATCACAGAGAAGATCCACCTTTTCCTTTAACAGTAGTAAGTATAAAGTGTTACACAGAAATTTAGCAAGCATTTTTAAAACTGTTATTTCAACTTTATTTTGTATTTAACAAAACCAAACCACAGTTTTACCTGTTCAAGCCTCTTAAATCACTAAAATTAAACAGCCACAGTTTTCTATTCATGCCACGGAAAATAAATAAATGAATGAGCAAAGAAATAAATAATATTTACAACCGCTGATCTCGGCCTTATGTCGCAAACGACAGACATGTTGCATTAATATTTCAACGCATTTTACACCGTTTTTGTCACATCTTCTGCCATCTATTTGATTTTGAAACCTTTGCATGCGCTTCATGAAGCTCTGCGTTGGCTTTCTGGTTGTGGATGTTGCCATATTTCCATATAAAAGCAGGTTTTAATTTGGCCTTACAGTGCATTGCTGTGCCTCAGTTTTACATACTGAGACCCCACTGTGACAGTAATGACTAGGCAGCGGGCTAAAATACTGAGCGCTGCCTCAGACAGGTGGACACTACCGATAAGGAGATTTCCCAGCAGCCTCAGCAGGTGGTTGTAAATGTTGTTCTGTACACCCTGATTGTTAGATCATGTGACCCGGGTCAGATATGTGATTCCTACCTGAATGCGTGCAGTCCGACTCGGTTGACGAGAAGCATCCACTAAATTGTAATAAGAAAAAAAGAAATTAATAACACAGTTCTTTGTAAACTTCTTTCACATATTAAACATGTCCCAAATATTCAGAGAGAATCCAGTCAGTCAATGAAAAAAAAAATTGTAAATAGGGAAAAAAAGGTGCATCAATTTCCATTAAGCTGGAAAGTGTTTTAAGGTAATCTACACCTTTATGAGTTTAGATTTGCAGATATGCATATGAGAAAAACTGCTTATAAGATGTAAGCTTGAAGTGAGGAGTGTAGAAGCTGCTCAGTTTATATATACATATATATATATATATATATATATATATATATATATATACATAAATAAAACACCCAGCACGCCCCTGCGGGCGGTTTATCCTTCAAGCTCGGGTCCTCTACCAGAGGCCTGGGAGCTTGAGGGTCCTGCGCAGTATCTTAGCTGTTCCCAGGACTGCGCTCTTCTGGACAGAGATCTCCGATGTTGTTCCCGGGATCTGCTGGAGCCACTCGCCTATCTTGGGAGTCACCGCACCTAGTGCTCCGATTACCACGGGGACCACCGTTACCTTCACCCTCCACATCCTCTCGAGCTCTTCTCTGAGCCCTTGGTATTTCTCCAGCTTCTCGTGTTCCTTCTTCCTGATATTGCTGTCATTCGGAACCGCTACATCGATCACTACGGCCGTCTTCTTCTGTTTGTCTACCACCACTATGTCCGGTTGGTTAGCCACCACCATTTTGTCCGTCTGTATCTGGAAGTCCCACAGGATCTTAGCTCGGTCATTCTCCACCACCCTTGGGGGCATCTCCCATTTTGACCTCGGGACTTCCAGGTTATACTCGGCACAGATGTTCCTGTACACTATGCCGGCCACTTGGTTATGGCGTTCCATGTATGCCTTGCCTGCTAGCATCTTGCACCCTGCTGTTATGTGCTGGATTGTCTCTGTGGCATCTTTACACAGCCTGCACCTGGGGTCTTGCCTGGTGTGATAGACCATCATGGAAGGACAGGCCCCTGCACGGTATGTACCACCGTGCAGGGGCCGGTATGTACCACCGGTGGTACATACCGTGCAGGGGCCTGTCCTTCCATGATGGTTCCTCGTCTCCCTCCTCTTTCTTGGGTTTCTGCTGCCTGAGGTATTCACTGAGCACTCGGTCAGTTGGGGCCATCTTCCCAATGTATTCTTGGATGTTCGTTGTCTCATCCTGGACTGTGGTGCTGACACTCACCAGTCCCCGGCCCCCTTCCTTCCGCTTAGCGTACAGCCTCAGGGTGCTGGACTTGGGGTGAAACCCTCCATGCATGGTAAGGAGCTTTCTTGTCTTTATGTCAGTGGCTTCTATCTCCTCCTTTGGCCAGCCTATTACCCCAGCAGGGTACCTGATCACGGGCAGGGCGTACGTGTTGATGGCCCGGATCTTGTTCTTACCATTCAGCTGACTCCTCAGGACTTGCCTGACCCTCTGCAGGTACTTGGTGGTTGCAGCTTTTCTAGTGGCCTCTTCATGGTTCCCATTCGCCTGCGGGATCCCCAAGTACTTGTAACTGTCCTCTATGTCTGCAATGTTGCCTTCTGGTAGTTCAATCCCCTCAGTTCTGACTACCTTCCCTCTCTTTGTTACCATCCGACTACACTTCTCCAGTCCGAACGACATTCCAATGTCATTGCTGTATAGCCTGGTAGTGTGGATCAGTGAATCGATGTCTCGTTCACTCTTGGCATACAGCTTGATGTCATCCATGTACAGGAGGTGGCTGACAACTGCTCCGTTCCGTAGTCGGTATCCGTAGCCAGTCTTGTTAATGATCTCACTGAGGGGGTTCAGGCCTATGCAGAACAGCAGTGGGGACAGAGCATCTCCTTGGTAGATCCCGCACTTGATGGTAACTTGTGCTATGGGCTTGGAGTTGGCCTCTAGTGTTGTACGCCACATCCCCATTGAGTTCCTGATGAAGGCTCTTAGGGTCCCATTGATCTTGTACAATTCTAGGCATTCCAGTATCCAGCTGTGGGGCATTGAGTCATAGGCCTTCTTGTAATCAATCCAGGCAGTGCACAGGTTGGTCAGTCTGGTCTTGCAGTCTCGGCTGATTGTTCTGTCTACCAGTAGCTGGTGTTTTGCGCCTCTGGTATTCTTGCCAATTCCTTTCTGTGTCCCGCTCATGTATTGACCCATGTGCCTGTTCATCTTAGCTGATATGATGCCTGACAGGAGCTTCCATGTAGTACTGAGGCAGGTTATTGGTCGGTAGTTGGAGGGGACCGGTCCCTTCTTGGGGTCCTTGGGGATCAGGACCGTCCGGCCTTCAGTTAGCCATTCCGGGTGTCTCTCGTTAACTAGCAGCTGGTTCATTTGTGCTGCCAGACGCTCGTGGAGTGCAGTCAGCTTCTTCAGCCAGTAGGCGTGAACCATGTCGGGCCCTGGTGCTGTCCAACTCTTCATACTGGAGACCCTTTCTTGGATATCTGCCACTGT